AAATTTGCTTAAAAAGCCACATTACATAATTTTACAGAGAAAGTGTTTCCAAGGTGTGGAAGTGATTATATGGAGAAACACACTGAAAGTGTTTTTCCACATAATGTTTCTAGCCATCGTAAGAACACTCCCAAACGAGTTGAATCACACTTGAAGTGACCTTTTAAATGACATAAACTGTTATATACATTATACACACCATATGTAAACAATTTTGTTTTTTTGGTAAAGGTGTTACTTTATTACTAAAACACAACATAATTATATAATGTAGGCCCAAATACATAAACCACAGAAGCAAAAGATGGACTTACGAAGTAACCCAAGAGCTTAAAACGTAGTTTTGAGCCCAAAACAAAAGCACACAAACAAACCCTAACAACTTCCTCCACCAACTGCCGCCGAAAGCGCCGCAACAACACAACGAGCACGAGCCTCTACAGCCAACATTTGCCAGGAGCCCAGCCAAATAACACCTCAGAGATGGAAAGAAAACAGATTTCGTCCTTCGTCTGATAGCATACCGCAGATCGCAACCACCAAGTAATAGAAACCGAAGACGTTTGTGGGATTTCCACAAGCAACACTGCCAAAGAAGATAGACAGGGAGGAGAAGGTGGTGGTGAGACCACCCAAGCCGGTGTAAACACCGAACTCTGCGCACATTCTCCTTGAAAGGCCGCAACAGATCCCGGCTAAAAAGGGTTGCAGATTGAAGCAGAGATGGAATCCATGGAAGACAAAAACATGTAGATAAAGGTATGGATGGGGGACGTGCAAATGGGTGGCTGGATGGATGGGGATATGTTGATTGGTTAAAGTGGGGAAAAGAAATCAGATTTGAGGGCTGGAAAGCTCAGTGGCAAATAGGGATGGAAAGGTAAGAACAAACAAGGAGGAAAACTGGGTAAACCACCAAATATCCAAAAAGCAGAAGTTGCCACCGACCCTACACTGAAATAGGGCCGGCGGCTAGAGGAGGAAATTGAGTTTCTTTGCTGCTCTCACACACAGGTAGAAAAACTCTCACTCATGGAGAGGAAGGCTCTCACTTACTTAGAGACCATATGTAAACAAATAGGTACGGCATAAACCACCCTTGTAGCCCATTTATTTTGAGGAGAGTAACTTAGATGGACTCAGTACATCATCGTGGTAGTGTCTCAATTCAGTCACATGTGTCACGTATTAATCTCTCTATGACATTGTGTTATTAGACCGAGACACTATTGTAACGTTGTATCAGTTCATTTAAGTCATCTTCATATTTTGAGAGACTATCCAAGATTTTTCACACAAAAAATCATCCAAATCGAAAATGAAGTACTTATTGAATTGTAAATCAAATAAATAGACGAATAGTATGTGATGAGTTGATATTATACTATATATTTTACCCTATTCTTAGTATTAATTTATTGGTTATTTTGTGATAATTTTGATACTTTGGATTATAAATCCAATGTAGGACATTCAACTTCCTCTTGAGAAACACGTGACAAACGAATGAATTTTAGAGTGATTTCAGTTGAAGGATGTTCGTGTATCTCTCAACTTGTTTGTATCAAAGTTTCAGATACATTTTTCTATCAAGCGGTTTATTTATGGCGGTGAAATAAAGGGTCAGCGCGCAGTGTTGTCAAAGTGACATTTTTTGCTTATTTGGGCTTTTTGGCATTCAAGATGATGTCTTTTGGGTTTGAAGCCTTGTGCAATTATCTTCGAGACTTACTAAGCTTTAATTCAGGGCATTTTGGGCCTGTTTTGGAGCCTCAAAGATCCAAAAACACGGGATTCTTGTAGCTGGGCAGATTTCCCAAAGTTAAAATAGGAATGTATTTCTTAGTTATCTTATTCTATTATGTTTTCTAGTTTTTAGAAGACCTTTTCTAGTAAGGATTTTATTTTGTAGTAGTATAAATAGGCTATTCAACCATTAGGGTTTAAGAAGAGGGAGAAGAACACATCAATTTGGAGAACTTAGCTAGGCTTTAACGATTTGTATTTCAAGGTGTTTTCTATCCATGTTTTTAATAAGATGTTTTCTTATGATTGTTCGTAGTTTGCTAGGGCAAGGCCCCGAGCCCGAACAAGAATATGTAGTTTCTTTTCAATTTACTTATGATATTATGTATGTAGATTTGAATTATTAATCAGTGATTTAAACTATCTAATTGTCTTAATGCTTGATCATCCTTAGAATATTTAGAAAAGTAATTTGATGCAATTTTGGTCGAAGGTTGGTCTCTGAAATTGACAAAGGCTTCTTGTGGTTAATATGCGCAAGTTCACTTAAGATAAATATCATGTCTTAAGGGTTGCATGATTTTTCAAAAGGTTTCACAAAGCTTAATGAGTCTTGCATGTTTAGATTTGATCTGAATATCATAGACAAATTGTATGTTTGATATATGCTCTATGTTGGGGGTCCAAGTAGGATACTTTAGGAAAACCTAATCTTCAAAATATGCATGTGTAAGTCATAAGTAATTGGAAGAACTACGTAAAATTGTTAAGGTGACGGCGGAACCCTAATGCTTAATTCAAGTTTCAAAACCATTTTCTTTTGGTTTATTTTATTTTGTTGGTTTATTTAATTATTTATATTAAAATTTTATTATTTTAGGTCATTAAATAAACTTTTTTTTTTTTTTCAAATTTTGTTTTAATTAATTAATTAAGATTTGGCTTGACATAAATTATTCATTAATCGCTGTGGAGAACGATATTACTAGAGCCGACTATACTACAATTATCTTGTACTCTAGCAACTATTTTTAGTGTATAGTTGGCTTGTCACATCCCGGCCCGGGGCGGATCACTTTCCGGGCCCGCTCCACCACCATAGCACGATATTGTCCACTTTGGGCCCCGACCACGCCCTCACGGTTTTGTTTTTGGGAACTCACACGAGAACTTCCCGTTGGGTCACCTATCCTGGGAATGCTCTCGCGCGCTTCTTGCTTAACTTCGGAGTTCCTATGGAACCCGAAGCCAGTGAGCTTCCAAAAGGCCTCGTGCTAGGTAGGGATGGGAATATACATTTAAGGATCACTCCCCTGGGCGATGTGGGATGTCACACGGCTCTAGCAATTAATTAAGACAGGATAAAAACACTTAAAATACTTGCAAGAGTACAAGATAATTGTAATATAGTCGGCTCTAGTAAGTTCATTCTTCACAAAGATTGAATGAATAATTTATGTCAAACCAAATCTTAATTAATTATTTTAAAACAAAATTTGGAAAAAGGTTGATTTAATGACCTAAAATAATAAAAAGAATTTAATAGAAATAATTAAATAAATCGGCAAAATAAAATAAACTAAAAGAAAACGGTTTTGAAAATTGAATTAAACACTAGGGTTCTGCCGTCACCTTAACATTCTTAAGTAGTTCTTCCAAAGGGCTTTTAGATGCAGGTCCAAAAACGTAGAGTGTTTTTAATAGTGAGTCCAGTTATCTAATTATATGTTTTTATTTCTTTTATACTCATTTTATATTTTCTAAAAATATTAAAAATCAATTAAAATCTTCTACTATTATGCATTTTCCAACTCCAAAACAATATATTTAATATCTTATAACAAAAAAACTAATATACTAACATAAATTTATCTGCAAAACATTATACTCTAACTCGAGTAACAAATATATGAATGTATATAATACCTATACGTGAGATATGAAACCTAACTAAAAAGTAGAAAAAAACATAACATACCTACAAGCAGGACACATTAATCTGTGACAGGTTGATTATAAAAAAAGAATCTGTCATATAGGTAGATAAATATAATTAACCTGTGATATAGGTTGATTATAAAAATTAAAAATAAAATCTATAAATGGGGTTTAAAGTAGGAGGAAGAACGAGAAATAACAAAAAGATAAATAAAAAGAAATAAGCAAAGAGATAATTGGGAAGAAATTTGATTTTTGTAATAAATCTTATCATTGAACAGATAACTATTGATAATTAAATAATTAAATATAACAAATTGGACTTATTTTAATAAACTGGACTATTCCTACTATTGGCTCAAAAAATTGGACTTATATCAAGTTTCCCCTTCTTCTCTTCCAATTACTTATGACTTACACATGCATATTTTGAAGGTTAGGTTTTTCTAAAGTATGCCTACTTGGACCCCCAACATAGATCGTATATCAAACATACACTCAGTCTATGGTATTCAGATCAAATCTAAACATGCAAGACTCATTATGCTTTGTGAAACCTTTTGAAAAACCATGTCACCATTAAGACGTGGTATTCATCTTAAGTGAACTTGCACATATTAACCACAAGAAGCCTTTATCAATTTCAAGGACCAACCTTCGACTAAAATTGCATCAAATTACTTTTCTAAATATTCTAATGGTGATAAAGCATAAAGACAAGTAGATAGTTTAAACCACTGATTAATAATTTGAACCTGCATGCATAATATCATAAGTAAATTGAAAAGAAACTATATATTATTGTTAAGACTCGTGGCCTCGCCCTAGCAAAAGGAATCAGTTATCATAAAACAAAATATTATTAAAAATATGGATAGAAAACACCTTGAAATACAAATTGTCAAGGCCTAGCTACATTCTCTAAATTGAAGTGTTTTCTCCCTCTTCTTAAACCCTAATGGCTGAATAGCCTTATTTATACTACTACAAAATAAAATCCTTATTAGAAAATGTCTTCTAAAAACTAGGAAACATAATAGAATAAGATAACTAGGAAATACATTCCTATTTTAACTTTAGGAAATCTGCCCAGACACAAGAATCCGACATTTATGGATCTTCAGAGCTCCAAAACAGGCCCAAAACGGCTTAAATTAAAGCTTAGGAAGTCCCAAAGATGGCCTCAAATCCAAAAGACATCATCTTAGGCACCAAAATGCCCAAATAAGCCCAAAACGTCACTTTGACAGTACTGCGCACTGACTTTTATTTCATCGCCATAAATAAACCGCTTAATAGAAAAATCTGAAACTTTGACACGAACAAGTTAAGATATACACGAACATCCTCCAACTGAAATCACTCCAAATCCGTTTGTTTGATCACGTTTTGCTCTAGAGGAAATTGAATGTCCTACATTGAAAATATAATTCAAAGTATCAAAATTCTCACAAAATAACCAATAAATTAATACTAAGAATAGGGTAAAATATATTGTATAATCCCCGACTCATCAGTACGCATTTGATAAAGCAACGAAGACTTTCCACAATCCTCAAACCAAGCGAAGTGGTGCAGTGAGGCACACCATTAGCTTGGTGTCTTGTCCATTTCCATCGGTGAACAATAGACGATAGATCATAGAGTTCCCGAGCACCAGTAATTATGTCACCATGCAAGCATGTAATAAGGGACAATCATCTCTATGCTGACTTGGTGAAACCCAAACTTGCAGCAAGATTCAAACCTTCAGTGGCACCAGCTGTTTCAGATAAAAGCGGAGAAGGACACACAGTGAGCTGCTACACCTCCTCTGAAAATACCTGATTCATCTCGAATCACTACTCCCAAGCCAGCGCTTTACGAAGAACCACACCAAGCACCATCAGAATTCACCTTAACAAAACCTCTACCAAAAGCCTCTCTGATTCTCTAAATTACTCTCTTTGGCTCTAGCGGCACATCATTGAACACAAAAGCACATCTTGCTTTTCAAATCTCCCAGCAAGTAATGCTAGCTAGCAAAAGAAAAGTGTCCAGCTGCTGTCCCTTCTCCCATCTCGAAATTTCTTTCAAAACCAAGTGGTCACTTCATTATTTTTCACCCTGCAATTCACAGTACTAAGGTCAATGCACACTGGAAAATTCAGAATGCGAGGAATGGCTTAAATCTTCCATAAATCCTCCAAACTGTGCGGTTGTTAATAAGTAGACTAGCACAGTCCACTGAATCCTGTGTGGCCTTCAACTACTGTCCTTTATAATTTGCATGACGATGGCTTTTTCAGCTCAAATGAAAAAAAAAAAATGAAGAGTATGGTCTTTTACACTACAGTATACAACTTTTGAATGAAGTGAAATGACATGATACATCCTCTGTCGAGGTATCAAACAAGTGGCGAAACTTCTAGTAAGTCATCTAAACATTCCCACCATGCGACAACGATATGTAACACGTTGATTCTACAAGAAAACAATGTAAAACTGCAACTTATACTTAATTACCGAGTATGTATGAGAAATAAGAGCTAAGAAGCATATGATCTTCTATGGATAATTGAGACGGTAGCACAACCAAAAGGGATGGTAAAAGAGCGTCATTCACCTTCATTTCCTTAACTCAAATTAACAGGTTTTTATTGAGACGGTAAGATGATTAGCAACAATGACCGTTTGAAAACTAACGATATCAATACATAACACCTACTACATGCCTTGAACAAGTGGAACTATACAACACTTACATATTTACAGGAGCGCATCCAACATCAACAAAATCTCAATTATTCCTAAAACTAAACTCAAGAGATAGGTGTTTTAATCTTTTTCCATAAAACTAAACAAAACGAAGAGACAGGTCTCACAAGGTTAGAGTGCTTCAAAGGTCTTCTTCCAGAGTATTGACTAAGCACGGGATGTCTCTCATGATCCAGTTAGTGCACACACAAACAGCACTTGGCTCCGAAGCTATTAATGCCTACCCAAATCTATATGATCTCTTCCTAGCCCAAGCGAGGAAGGCTCCAAGGAAGCTTCTGACCTCCTCAAATCTAATTCCACTTCCTTCTGTCTCAGTTGCAATACCCTTCTCTCGTTCTCTAATTTCATTCTCTCATTCTCCAGTCTCAGCCTCTCCAGTTCCCTGTCTTTCTTGCTACAATATCTTAGCCATTTATACCTTTGCTTCTCAATCTCCAAAGCTTCAGCATGGAAGCTGACTCTTTGCTCTTCAAGTTGCAGCTTCTGTTTCTTGATCCAATCTCTCCGTTCCCATAACGACTTTGTTGCGTCTTGAAAACAGTCACCCACTTCAACTTCAAAACTATCGAGAGGAACATGTTGTGGCCACATATGGCCATCTTCTTCCCTAGCCTTCTTCCTCTCACTCATTCTTCTCATTCTCTCCCTATCATTATCAGCATCGTTATGATCTTCGTTGTCCAATTTATCATCCTCACTATCATGGTTTTCTTCAGCTTCTTCTTCCTCGGATCCATTAATGTCTTTTGAGCACCTCCCAAGAGGTAGGGAATAGCCATGGGGATTGAGCTCTTGGCAGTCAGGTATCCTCTGTCCATTATGATAAGCACACATTTCTTTATAAAACAAGTGTTTTGAGCTCAGTATCTTCCTAACGTCATCCTTCGCCTTGGCAGGGAGGTGGGGCATTGCATCCATAAGAGCAGGATTCTCTACCACTCTACAACTAGTTCCTCTCCCGAGAATATCGTTCAACCTCTTATACCTTTTGTTCAAGTCATTAAACTTGTCTTCACACTGCTGAGGAGAAACATGACAACCTTTACTAATCATTATTTGCGACACAGTTTTCCACTTACCCTTCTTCTGTAATATCCCAGATTTCCTCTTAAGCCCCTCACCACCTTCATCCGAACCATCATCACCCACGCAAGCAACAACATCAATAAGAAGCCTGACCACATTATCTGTCCACTTCATCCGCTGCCATCGAGATCCCTTTTTTCCCTTGGCACCTTCAATGCTCTCATCATCTGTATAATTTTGTTCATCGTCATCACTCAAATTGTAACCGTTATTGCCATTAAACGAAGCAACTGCCTTCCCTTTGGCAATAGTCGAACCAACTTTTGGGACTGACCCTTTCACTTCCACAAGCCCAATGGGATGACGATCGCCTGCAATGCCGCCGCCCCCCATCACATTCATGTGATGTTGGTGATGCCCTAACAATTGATGACCCAACTGCATCTCTTGGCGTCTAGGAACCGGCGATTCAAGGTCTAGTATCCCCCCACTGGGACCAGACATAAACCCACCTCCCAAACCCGAACTATCCATCTCGCCACACTCGATCACAACATCCTAAAGTTCAATTTGGTTTCTTACAAAAAGCAACAAAAAAAATCAGCTAGTAAAAGCTTTCGATCATCACAATCGACTGAAAAGCCATATCTCAGCTGTTTATTTCAATCAGCAGCACCGAAAACAACTGAAAGGTTTAACACTCACAGTTTCTTCCATTTTCCTACATTTTCTCACCAACCAAACAGATGATATCGCGAGATTCCCATATTCCCATTAGACCAACAAATGCCAATCACTAGATGCCTCTTCAAGGAAATACCTTGAAACCCAAAACTTGTGACTGAATATAAACCAAACTTAGAAACGCCAAAAAGATCCAATCTTGAAGTTTACCCAGTAGTGAAAATTTTCCTAGAAAGTTGAACAAAGGAGTTATAGCAGTAATTAATCCAAATTCCAAAAATGAAGGTAAATTTAACCCAAATCCCAAATATACTGGGAAAAAAAAATCCAAATTTCGAATATAGAATCCATATGAAAGAAAGCGCATAGATTTTTGCAAGCTTACCTTTTCAAGATCGACAAGACGATTTCAGCCCATCAGCAGAGAGAGCCCGAACCGAGTTCAGAGAGAGGTGCCAGCGATGAGTTAAAGGTGGTGACTAGTTTTAGACTGTTTTGAGTTTGAATCGGTACGAAGAACTCAGTGCCGCTTAATACAATTTACATTGATTGTATCAAAGTCAAATGCAATGAGCAGTGGCTGTGGTACGTCGGGTATGGGTGGGCATAAAAAACACCTACACGAATCGAATCGCGACAAAATAAATCATGAAAAATTGTGTGAATCAGAAAATTTAATTTTGGTCAAAGAACCGAATTGGTTCAGACCGGTTTTCCTACCTCAAAACCTAATCAACTCGGTAAAACCTGATACAGGCCTTTTAAGGAAAGAAATCCTTATTTTTCAAAAAAAAAAAAAAAAATGGGGACATTTTCTTGATCATTAAATCTGGTTTTAATAAAATTATGTGGTTGAGATTAAATCATAGGCCACATAATCTTAACCACATAATTTTATTAAAACCAAATATAATGATTAAGAAGATGTCTTCATTTAAAAAAAAAATTGGAGATCCTTTCCCTTAAACTCTTCTTATATATGTATATAGAAGGAGCTTAGATACATCAGCATACAAGGAGCTTAGATAAACACAAAATTACATGCAAAAGACCACCAAATGCAGGATCATGTGCACAATATTTGAGATCGGCCTTGGAACAATATATTTTTGGGAAAAAAAGGGATAGAGGAAAAAAATAAATTTCTTTCTCTAAATTTTGAGGAGAGCTAGACATGCATGCAATAAAATCCATAAAGAAATATACAAGTAAATAAAAATTTGAGAAACCCTCTGCTACAATTTATACACACATATAGCTGTGCATATATAAAATGATTAAGAAGGAAAAATGGTAATAAACAAATAAATAAATAAAAGAGACTCGTACTAAGACACTCGTAATAAACAAATAGACATGCATGCACTAAGACACTCGTACTCTTATTCTATGACACCTAAAAGTTTAAGTTTTCGAATTGATTTTTATAGAGTAAAATTACCAATTTCTCCTTGTTTATGAAGTATTTTGTCATTGCAATGTAATTTATTTTTGTATTCTCTTAAAAATTTTATTTTTATAGGCAAGTCACTTTACACTTTTCTTTTTATTCTTAATTTTTTCTCAGATAAAAATAAAAATGTTTAATTTGATCTCTTCAGTAACTTCATTTGCTAGTGCATCGTTTAATGCAAAATCACTATATCTGGTTAAATATTTAAGATTCTATATTTTTGTTAATCTCATTGTGGAATGTGCCATCAGGCGTGGGTTCGAATTATATCGATGACTAATCTAACTATATCTATCATTTGACCAAAAAAAAAAAAAAAAAAAATGAACGGTTCCTAATTTCTGTATTTGGACCAATTTCCCATAAATTTTTTCCAATAGCATTTGGCGGTTGTTGTCAACTTATCACTTTATGTAGTCCAATAGTGCCAAGCTAGGGTTAGGGTTTTCGAAAATTATAGTTATGAATAACTGCCAACTGTCATAAAGAATTCAGGAAATTTATCAAAATGTAGAAAATAGAACCGCTTGCTTTAAGACAAGCCAAAATTCTATGTAACATTATAACAGGACAAATTATTTTAAGGTGTGCACGTCTTTGACAGATTTTCAAATGTATTGGTATTGCAATGTTACAACTAATGATACATAGGTTTCCACATATATATTACTTCTGGAAGCTCACGAAGATAGACTTGTAGTAAAGGAGTATACACCAAAACCTTGTAATTTTATCATTATGCTCACTTGGGTACTGATGCCCCAATTTAATGACAACTAAAAGTTTAGGGCAAAAGAGTTATGTTTTTTGTGAGAAAAACTACGATTTTATCCCGTTTTATGAATTTTTTTTTTTTTTTTGTTTTTGGGAAATAAACTAGTTAAACAACAGAACCACAAGGGCCTTTACCTCCAGTACATAAAACGCCATACAACAACGCCTGTCTAGCATGAGGAGAGGTACAAACCTAAATTACATCACAATGTGGATAGAGTGACCATAATTGGCTAAAGCATCAGTGAAAAAATTAACCTCCCAAACAAGACTAAAACAATAAACTCAAGGGAAGAACCTAAATACAATGTATCTTGAGCACAAGTTTTAATTCTCCAAGATATTAGACTGTGGCCCAAAATGCAATCATGGTTTGTCATTGCAGTGTAATTTCTTTTTGTATTCCTTGAAAAATATACTTTTTCAGGCAAATCACCCTATTATTTGATGATCATGTACTTTACACTCTTCTTTTTATTTTTGAAATTTTCTCTGATAAAGAATAAAAATTTGTAATCCGTAATTTGATATATTCAATAAATTAATTTTCTACTGCACCGTTTAATGTACATCATATTAGATAAAATATTTTACGTATTTATGAGATTCCATATATATTCGTTAAGAAAGATTATATTCACACACCTCAATTTACTTCTCTCACATCCTTTTAATTTTTTAATATTTTCTACACACCACTAACACTTGATAAAAGAATATTAAAAAATAAAAAAAAGTGGAAGAAGTAATTGGAGGTGTATGAATATAATCCTCCATTCGTTAATCTCATTATGAAAGATGCCAATTTTTTTTCTTTTTGCATACAAAGGTCCCATATTTATGACACATAAAATTTACTTTTCTTTCTTTTTTTATTTTTATTTTTTATTATGAACCGTTTTTAATTTCCGCATTTGGATCAATTTCCCATAAAAAAAAAAATTCCGACAACAGTAGGCGGTTGTCGTCAATTATCAATTTCTATAATCCAATACCAACATGGGGTTAGGATTTTGGAAAGTGACAAATTGTCAATAACTGTCAACCGTCGGAAAGAATTCAAAAAATTGATCAAAATGTAAAAAATGGAAACCACTCTCGTTAGGACAAATCCAAATCTCTTATCGTTATGACATACTTTTGAAAAAGATGACAAACAATTGGAAGGGCGTGTAAAGCACAAGGTACAAAGAATTTTAAGGTGTGCACTTCTTTGGCTGCTTAAGTTAAGACTGAACCGGTCAGCCTTGTTCAAGCATCAGGTTATGAGAAAAGAAACAAGTTTACAACGAAGAGGAGATGGTCTCTTCAATCACTCCACTCTTTGGCAACAGAGAATCTCCATTCACCCAAAACTCACAGGATGAGAGAGAGAGAGAGAGAGAGAGGAAAAATATATAGAAGCAACCGAAGACCATAATTTGAATCATATTAGCCGATTAAGTTATAACACCACCTATTCATAGCTGGGGAGATGAGTGCAGCATCTAACAAAATTCACCCAGTCCCTACTAGCTCAATACTTTTTCGTCAGTCCTAATGAGCATAAGATATTTACAAGAAATCCAAGCGCGACCGGCCAGTTTCTATAACGTACATGCCTGTGACCTTTCATCAATTTCTAGATTTTCAGTACCATTTACAAGTTCTTGCCGAACCACCAACTGTTCAGTTTCTAAAATCTAGATTTGCGCCTGTGCACTTTTGATCGCTTCCTTGATGTTTCAAAACCATTGACACTTCCTTTTCGCCTTTTAATGGCATTACCTAGGGAACCAGCTTGCAAGGCTTCAGCAGTCATCCTATACCGGACAACATTTGTTACAATGGCATATGCAACAACCTTAGTTTTTGGGGTCAGGATGACATTTCTCTCAACAATTGCATTCTGCCCACAGCATGATTCTTGAATTGCTGTGTGTCTCAGCTTTTGCAATACTGAATCCTTATCAAGCGTAAGACAGTCTTCTGGAACCTGGACAATAATAAGTCACAGTAATGTCAGGCCTCCCTTAGAACACAGAAGGGCGATATCCTTGATTTCGAAAATCAAGGATATGTAATTTATAACTACTAACAGCATATAAGAGACAAGGTTCGAACTTCTAACCAACCTTAAAATTAAGAGGTACAACAATTTCTGTGGACGGACAACCACAACTATCTATCAAGTTGAATTTCAAAACCATATCAAATGATTTTCCCTGCAAGGTTCTCCTGATACATATCGAATACAAAATGTGAGAACGTGACACTATTAGATAACACATCATAAGCTATTAGCCTATTGGATCATCCACATACATCAGAATGGAGTTTCAGTGCTAGAGGACAAGAAAGTGAGAGGAGTTATGATAATGTGAAGGAGAGATGAGAAAATATATGTAGAGAGGTTCATAGATAAAAAACTGAGTTGTTTGGTGTCCTTGAATGAAATTTTTTGTTTTTGAAACTAACCAGTATTAAGTAATTTACCTACCATTCAGAAACTTAAGATCCAAGAACAATACCAAACAAGCCCCAAACAATTTAAGAAACTTTTGTTTTTAGCTTTGGTTCTATGTTTCCTTCCCTTCTTCCTCACCGCCCTCATCTCTCATCTCTCTCCTTTCTTGCATACCTCTGTCTAAACTCTAAAAAAACAATGGGACCAGACGAACCAAAATATGGCAGTCACCATGCAGATTATACCATTAAGAAATACAAATAAAGCCACTAGTTTACAATCAAAGGAATTTACGATAACAAATATCAAACTGCTGGAAATAACCATACAAGTCTTGACTGATCATACTGTTTTCTCGTTTTAAATAAAATCTATATTTTACTTAGTTTACAATCACCTTAAGTATTTATGACCCATCTTATTTGAAATTCAAAATTGAATAGAAGTAATTCAGTTTAGCATACCTTTTCAATTGAAATGGTTCCTTCTGTAGAATAGCTGATTTATACCCTTGATTGTCTAAGAAGGATATCTAGGATGCAAATATAACACGAGGGTTAGAACCAAATCTGGGAAAAGGAAATATAACAAGATAATTTGAAGGGGATGTCTTGTAGAAAAGGAATGTGCCCTAAGCTTCCCACACAAATTCACTATGTTGATCAATCTTGAGATAAAGCAATGTTCCTACGCTCGGTTGCTAAAATACAAGAATGGGAACTGTTACAAGAGATTTCTTTGGTGCAAAGGTCAACTGCTTCAAAAATTAGTCTACTATGGCTTGGGTGGCAGAGCAGAGCGGTAACTTTCGACACAAAAACAAAACTAAGCACCTAACGATCTGGTCAATCGGTAAATGACAAGAATGCAAATATGCATCTATGAACATGGAAAAAGCTATATATAAAAAAACATATAACCATTTGTGAATAAGAGGATCATTTCTG